ATCTCCAGTCAGGTCACATACCTTGGTTGAGGGTTCAATCCCAGTCAGGAAAAGTACAGAAAACAAACAATTGATGTTTCTTTATCATATCAATCTCTCTTCCTTTCTTTAAAAATCTATAAAACATATCCTCAAGTGAGGATTTTTTAAAAAGATATGAAAATACCTGTCTCATAGGTGGTGGCAAGAATCTCAGAAATGGTATCTGGTATTTTAGAGCTAATATTTATGCCTGGTTTCATTTACAGCCAGGTAACCTTTGTGGCAGATACCAGCATCCTGGGAACTAGTCTCTCTCTCTCTCTTTTTTTTTTGCAACAGCCTCTAGCATAGTCTGAGGGGCACTGTTAGTCCTCAGCTCATTTGCAGAACAAAGGTGAATGTCATGTATTGAGTTCCTGGATGACAAAACCCTTCATGCTTCAGATATCTGGTTATTTCTACTGCTTTATTTCTCATTTAGGTATCTTTTCCTGAACCAACTCAAATATAGCTATACTGTACATTCTAAAGGTGATCTTCTGGAACCCATCATGGCAGTGTCATGTTAACAATACCAAGCATGCAGCAAATACACAGTAAAAGGAAAAGATAGTATTCATTAGAAGAGAGGAGTTCTTCTCTGTCTTATTCTTATTTGAAGAAAATTCCGAAGCCCTTAATGTGTCTCCCAGAACTTGGAACTTCCTCCTATTGCATTTGAAAGAAAAGAAGTCTTCACCTTAGCTCAAACATCTTTGTCTCATCCTTCTGGAAAGAGGAAACTATGGTGAGGATTTCTAATGACCCTTCCATGCCAAAGGAATAAGGAAAGCATCTCCCTTGGAAAATCTGGAACACCTTTGTTTGGTGTTAGTGCAGCCAAGACTTTCCATTAAAATTCCTGACTAGGCCCTGGATGGGTAGCTGAGTTGGTTAGAACATCACCCCCATACATCAAGGTTTCAGGTTCCATCTTTGATCAGGGCACATACAAGAATCAACCAATGAATGCATAAATAAGTGGAAAAACAAGTTGATCCCCCCCTTTTTTCTCTCCTCCTCTCTCTCCCTCTCTCCCTTCCTCTCTCTCTCTCTCTAAAGTCAATAAATATAAATCTGAAAAAAAGAAACATCAGATTAGTAAAAAATCCCTTTCTGACATCAAGAGTTTTCAGGATGGGCCAGCTGTTGGGCCTGGATTGTATGACCATGATCATCTTTCTACTGACCTCTTAATATTCAATCAAGAAATCTGTTTGGATGGATTTTTACTCTTACCCTTCATTCACTGGTTGTTTGGGATCAGGGGCTATCATACAAAAACAGGAGTTATTGGTTATTTGAAGAGATGAAGAAGAAGGGGTTGGTGCCACAGGAATATCACTATGTCTTTGCTGATAGAAATTGGAATCAGAAGGCACTTAGTTGCTTCCAGATGGGATGGGTCCAATGGCATAGACAATCAACTTTGATTAGTACTTTTCTGGGTGAGGAGAAAATAGCAGTGCCCTAAACCCTTGAAAAATCTAATTGGCCTGAAGGGTAGAGGGTTTTCCTGGCCTGGTTGATGGTGGTTTTACTCAACATTGGGTATTGAATACAAATATACTCTGGAGGGAGCCAAAAATACAATTCACTTCATAACTCTTTACTGCTTACCTAAGTACCAAGCATTTTATGACCAGCTAGAGGATAGAGGCTCCAGATATTAATAACATAGCCTTTCTTTTTAATTTGCTTGCAGCTTAATGACTTGGTAGAGCAGGATTGACACCTCCCAGAAAGCACCAGTGTCCCAGATGAAACTCCTTCACATGTGGACTCTTTTGGCAACCTGGGAGACATCAGTATCCCCTAGCTGTTTTCTCATATGGAAACCATGCTCTCAGGGCCTAGACTGAGGAAGAAGGAAAAGAGAGCAACAATAGACAAAATGGAAGAACTTTTGAACAGTGGGTTGTTCCCTGGAACTCTGCCTCCTCACTGGATTCCAGTCATCTCTTCTTTCCCTTCTTACAAGCTTACCTTGAAATAGGACAGATGAGTAAAGACCCAGTACAAATCTCATTGTTTTAAAAATGGTCAACAAACCACAAGGAGATACTGTCTTTTTTGGTGGAGCTTAGTTGGAAAGAATCACAGCCAAATGTTTAGTCTTCTGAACAGATGCTCCTGGATTTCATTGTTAGTGAACGCAGTATTATTCAGCATGCTGGAATTTAAAGAAAACAAAAACAAAAAACACCTGTACCAAATGGGTAGATTTGCCAGGCTATCTAGGCCCATCTAAGAAGTGTCTCTCAGATCTAGTTGCCAGAAATGTTGTTTTCTGTTGAAAAGTGACTGCTTTCTTGACTTAAAAATGATGAGAAAGTTTCTATGCATTATTTACAATCATCTCCATGTTAAGGTCATTTTGCATCACTCATGAGATTAGAGTCTGCTTCATATTCAGCTGCTGTATTATGAGCAGCCATTGTATCAAAACTTTCTTTGTGTCCCCAACACTAAGGACTATGTTAGGTACAGTGTAGATACTCACTTATTAAATTGAAATGAAATATGTGTGGGGTCAAGAAGAGAATCCCTTTATTCCACCCCACTCTCATCTTTACACTCCCCTGTCCTCAGTTGCAAGCATACTGGCTCCCTTTGTTAGTCTGGCCCTGATAGAAAGGTGGTCATCGCCCCCTCCTCTTCACTAGTCCTCTGACCTTTTGTTGTGGGAAAGTGCATGGGTTTTGGAGTCTTTTTAGCTCAAAATTCAAATTGTTTAACTGCTTTCTAGCTAGTCTCAGCCCCTATTTCTGAGCCCCTATTTACAATGCAAAGTATCTACTGTGATCATTAAATGAGATAACATAAGTAAACTGCCTAGTTTATAGTAAGTGGTCAGCAAAGGTCCATTCATTATGTCTGATATCTTTAAAAACTCTTTCTGAGTCCTGAGAAGACTGAGTTCCTGACAAAGACTCTTCCAGCAGCCCACACAGCTCAAATCTATTGGAGCAAGAAAAAGTGCCATCTGCCTGACTCCTCTAAATTCTTCAAATTCAAATCCAAGGTTTTCTCAGTTGTTGTTGTTTTAATGAGGACTGTTTCAAATTTGAACCATGTGCACTGTTAGTAGAAATGTAAAATGGTGCATATACTATGGAAAACAGTATGGTGGTTTAAAAAATTAAAAGTAGAATTGCCATATGATCTAGCAATTCTACTGAACATATATCCAAAATAATTAAAAACAGAGTCTCAAAGAGATATTTGTACACTCATGTTCATTGCGGCATTATTCATAATAGCAAAGAGGTAGAAACAACCCAAATGTCCATCGATGGATAAGTGAATTTTTTAAATGAGGTCTATTTATACAATAAGATAGTGTAGGAAGAAAATTTTGACACAAGCTACAACATGGATGAAACTTGAGAGCATTATGCTAAGTGAAATAAAACACACATAAAGATAAATACTTTATGATTGAACCTGTATGACATATCTAGAGTAGTCAAATTCATGGAAACAGAAAGTAGAATGCTGGTTGCCAAGGGGTAGGGGATGGGAAGGTAGGGGGGGAAAGGGGAATGTTTGTTTAATGAATATAAAGTTTCAGTTTTGAAAAACAAAAGTTCTGGAGACTGGTGGCACAATAATGTAAATATACTTAACACTTCTCAGCTGTGCACTTAAAAATGGTTAAGAGGGTAAAGTTTATGTTATATGCAATTTACCAAAATTTAAAAAAAACGGGTGGAATGTGTCCTGGACATTGAGGGAAGCTGTTAGTTGAAGAGAGCATTTAGGATGTGATCTAAATTCTGAGGCTCCCAAATGTTTTCTTCCAAGCCCCAAACTCCAAATTCAGACTCATATACCTGCCTGTGTACATCTCCACTGGAATGCCTAACAGGCATATCTAACTTAGCATATCTAAAACATACTTTGGTTTTCCACCCAAGTCTATTCCTCCCCATGTTTCCAATATCAGGGAATGGACCTACCACTCACCCAGTTGCTCAAATTGAAAATCTAGGATGCATTCTTCACTTCCCTAACTCCCCATATCAGGTTCATCTTCAGGGCTTGTCAGTTCCTTGTCTTAAATCACATTAGCTTTCTTCCACTGTGTTGGGCCAATCTGCCATTACCTCTCAATGAGGCAGCACTGGTGCCTCCTGTTTTCCCCCGACTTCCTTTCCCCACACAGCAGTCTCTCCCATGTGCCTTTAAAACTGTGAATCGGATCCCGTTGCTTCTCCTGAGTTTTAAAGACAACATATCTTATTTAGAATAAAAACTAAATCCATTCCATGGCCGAGAAGTCCCTTCCTGGTCTAGCTCCTGCTTACTTCTCTGACCTCATCTTCCCCTTGCTCAGGGTGTCCACACCTGTAAAATGGGTACAGAAATCATCTCTCCCACATAGCAAGTGCCAGCTGCGTGCTAGGCCAGGCACCTTACACACAGCATCTCATGCTGTCCCAATTCAACCCAACAACATAAGTGTTAAGAACCTAAGATTAAATCAAAGTGTATGATGCTAGTACACAGTAAGCTCGAACCAAAAGGGTGAGTACTAGCTCCGGGACAGGGACGGGGAGACATGGGTTGCAGAAAGAGTTAATTAAGATGTGTCTTTCCAAATCCTGGCCCTCTACATCTCGGCATATGCCTTTGTGGGCTTAATGAGAAATCCAGGCATTTCTTAAGAGCCTGTACAAATAACTTCTAGGTTGCCACTAACTCATTCAGCAGAAAAAAACTCAGAGCTGCCAATGCTTCAGAAAAGATAGTGAGTGGAAAGAAGGTGGTTTTTATAGCGCCAGGCGGACAGGATTTGCGCGGTTGAGTGTGGGCTCCACCCCTGAGGCAGAGCTGAAAAAGCCAGGATCCTGGCTCCTCAGCCCCTCTCTTCACAATATTTGATTAGGAATTTGGGGGCGGGACCCTGGCCTGGCACAGACACGGACACTCTCAGTAGACACTCTCACTCCTCTCTCTCACACACACTTTCTGCAACCCAAGGAGTCCGCAGACAGAGAGACGTGGTCACTCTCTGAAAGGTTCAGCTCCAGGTAAGTGTAGTCATTTTACTTATTTTTATGTCTTGTAGTTCCATAAAGAAAATAAAGGAAAGGGGCTGCTGGGGAATGGGAAGAGAACAGCAGGGAGGAGTCATTCATCACTCTCTCTGGGCCATGACCCCAGGATGCTAGAGAAAGCAAAGGGGAAGTAAAAAGAAGGGATTCCAAATACTACCTTTGTCTTATAGCTCCTTTCTGATTGTTGATGGGGGTTGGGGGACCTCCAGTTCTCAGTCATTAAGGCAAAGGGAAGCCAGCTCTCCCCTACTACTACTCATAAATGCCACCAGCTTAGTCCTGTGTCCCTGCAGGCTCTCGTATAGAAGGCTGTGGGACCTAAACGCTGCTATGGGAAAAGGGGAGTTTTGTGTAATGTGTCTGAGTATGTGTGGTTGTGTGTGTGTGTTGCTGCGGTGAAAGGGAGAGAAAGAGAAGCTTTGAGAGTTGACCATGTCTAGGGAGCTGTGCAGTGTGAGTCCAGGCCAGGGTGGGGGTGGCTTCTGGTTTGACTTCCTCCGCTCTGACAGGAGGAAGAGATGATTCACTAGAGTGGAGAAATGAAGGAACAGCAGCAACTCCTGAGTGAACTCCCTCAACTCACAGAGTGCCTGTCCTAGGAACTTTCCACCTCACAAAAATCTGTACACCGGAGGGTCTCTAGCATTAGGGGATAATTTAAGAGTAGACAACCCTGGAGCAACATTGCTCAGAGATGGGGTGGGGCAAGAAGAGGCATGAGGTCTCCACCAAACCCTGTCAGAAGTCAGGGCTCCTAAGGAGAGGACAAAATGGGCAGGATGCATGCCCTTGGAAAGCTGAGTCTTGAAGAGGAAGGTGGCTCTTGTCTGCCAAGGTGCCCAGTCTGGAAGGAGAAATGGAGACAGAGGCTTACTGTGCCAGCCTTCAGGCAGCCACCTCAGTCCTGCAGCAGCCCAGAGCTGTGCATGGAAAAATGCGTTGCTGGCAGTGGGCCGCTCCATCAGTCTACTCTCCTGGCCAGAGCCAGGGCCCAGCCAGGATGCCCAAGCAGTGGGCAATTGGGTCAACTTTCAGAAACACTGTGGGTTCTTTGTCTGAGGCCTCAGGTTGCTTGAGAATGAGCCAGGGTGCCTCTCCTCTGCAGCCCAGAGGCTGATGGGATGAAGCAGACTTAAAGAAACTGCTTTCAGGGGACAGAGAGGTCTGGGAGGTGTGGTGGCCACAAAGTGACTATGTTGTCACAGTCAGGGTCCTTCCCATTCATTCATTAGATTTGCTGCTGGCTTTTAGACTTCTTTCTTTCTCCTGTCCAAAGTTGCCAACCCCCGCAAGGCCCAAACAGCAGTGTGAAAGGTATATGTGACTTTTCCAGGACCAATAAAAGTTCTAAGGTTTCCCCATCTAAGGGTGACACTCACACCTCTGGGAGGTGCCTGTTGCTCACAGGGGCTATGCAGTGCTTTGGTTGTAGGTATTCAGAGCAGGGTGCTCAGGCCTGATATGTCTCATCTTCCATACCTTCAGCTTCCCTCTCAGATGACACCAAGTCCACATTTCTTTCTAGAACTGCCTGATTTCATCTCACTAGCATGCACATAAGCTCAGAGGCTGATGCCAGTGTTGGAGCCTTGATATAGAACCTTATAATTCAGATATCACCACAGGGAGCTTGGGATGGGACAGGGTTGGGGGGGGGGATGCTAGAATCCCATTCTAAAGCCATGTTCCCTTGGACACATATGAGAGTCTTCAACTCCTAGTCCTTTTTTAGTGCTCTGCAATTCATTTCTCTTGACCCCATGTGGCTCTTGCATAATGTCCATGGTGCAGCATGAAGAGTGCTAACTCTTTACTAGACACAACAGAGGACAGCCAAGTGGACTGACTCAGACTCCACGTACTCAGCCACTCTAGATGACAAGTGCCATTCTTGAGTGCCAGTGTCCCCGGTCTGGAGGAGACCTGTAACTGTTATTTGAAAACCCCGTGCCTGCCAAGTTGCATGTGTAGCCACAAACTACTAAACTGAGAATTTTCTCACACAGCAGAATGTTCTAGATGCTGGCACTTTGGAAGGCAGCCCAAGTCTCATGGTGGCTGCAGAGGGACACACCCCTCCCTAAAGACTCAAAACCAGACTCAGCCTGCCCAAGAGACCAAAAGATCTTTCCAAAGTAGTTCAGATCTTCCCCTTTGAGGTCTCAAGCAACTGGTGGAGGTTTCCCAGAGACATGGAAAGAGGCACCAGACTTTTTCCTTGGACTCTTGGAATATATTATTTCCCTGGGGAGTCCAAGAATTCAGGCCTGAAAAGCATCCCCTCCCCACCCCTCAGGGATGCTATGAGTTCTCCAGCTGCCCCAACAGAAACTTCTAGTTGCAATGGATCTGCCCCTCCAAAAAAGTGTAGTGCCCCCTATTCAAGTTTCTTCTAATCTCAAAGACTCTGCTTCTATGACTCTATGACCAGGGGAAAATGCACGTAGGCCCCCTTAGATATCAAGCTCCAGCTGGACCCAGTGCACAGAGCCAGCCCTGGGAAAAGGCATGGAGGAAGTGAGAGCAAGCTCCTGTTCTCAGATGTTTGGCACTAAATCAGATATGCTCAAAGCCTAAGATTCACCCACTCTGCCTCCCTAAAGTCTCACTTGTGCATGCTTGCTCTGTTCTCTCTCCCTTCTTACAGAGACAAAATGCAGTGGGCCCCTGTCCTGCTTCTGGCAGGGCTCTGCTCCCTCTCCTGGGCCCAGTATGATGAAGACCCCCACTGGTGGTTCCACTACCTCCGCAGCCAGCAGTCCACCTACTACGATCCCTATGACCCTTACCCTTATGAGCCTTATGAGCCTTACCCCTACGGTGTAGAGGAGGGTCCAGCCTATGCCTATGGCTCTCCATCCCCACCAGATCCCCGAGACTGCCCTCAGGAGTGTGACTGCCCGCCCAATTTCCCCACGGCCATGTACTGTGACAACCGCAACCTCAAGTACCTGCCCTTTGTCCCTTCCCGCATGAAGTATGTCTACTTCCAGAACAATAAGATCTCATCCATCCAGGAAAGTGTCTTTGACAATGCCACGGGTCTGCTCTGGATCGCTCTTCATGGCAACCAGATCACCAGTGAAAAGGTGGGCAGGAAGGTCTTCTCTAAGCTAAGGCACCTGGAGAGGCTGTACCTGGACCACAACAACCTGACCAGAATGCCTGGCCCACTGCCTCGATCCCTGAGGGAACTCCACCTCGACCACAACCAGATCTCGCGGGTCCCCAACAATGCTCTGGAGGGGCTTGAGAACCTCACAGCCTTGTACCTTCAACACAACGAGATCCAGGAAGTGGGGAGTGCGATGAGGGGTCTCCGGTCACTGATCTTGCTGGACCTGAGTTACAACCACCTTCGGAGGGTGCCTGACGGACTGCCCTCAGCACTTGAGCAGCTGTATCTGGAGCACAACAATGTTTATTCTGTCCCTGACAGCTATTTCCGGGGGTCACCCAAACTGCTATATGTGCGGTTGTCCCACAACAGTCTCACCAACAATGGCCTGGCCTCCAACACTTTCAATTCCAGCAGCCTCCTTGAGCTCGACCTTTCCTACAACCAGCTGCAGAAAATTCCCCCAGTCAACACCAATCTGGAGAACCTCTACCTCCAAGGCAATAGGATCAATGGTGAGACCTTGGCAAAGGGGCATGGGGAGTGGCTGTCTATTTCCTTGGAAAGACCTTATTCTGAGTGCTAGTGGCAACACAAAAGAAATATCAGTAGGATAACTAGAGAGCAAAATGAAGCAACCTGAACACCAAGTCTTACACTTAAACTAAATGGCAATGTTAATAAAAGTCAGTGGGGAGTGGATTGGTAAGAAGACTTCCCAGAAGAGGTAAGTTTCAACCTAGGTCTTGCGAGATAAGTAGGCACAGGCTAGAAGAACTCAGGACAAAGCCATTCTGAGAAGGCAAATTGCCACTAACAAAGGAACCCAGTCATTGAATAGGTCGCCTGTAAGGGACGACCAGGAAACTCATGTGTCTGAGAGGAAGGAGTCATGTATTGAGGAGCAGTTGAGATATGATTCAAGAAAGGTTTGGGAGAGGCAGTTCATAGAGAAAAGGGATTTAAGCTGGATTTCAAGGTCTACGCTGAAATCCAGAGGAAGACCTCTGGGAGGAAGTGGGCTAAGAAACCATGGCACATCTGTACCTACTCATTGACGCAGGAGAGGATGAGCTCTCTGTTTCCACCCAATCTACTCCTGCCTCTCAGCCTGGTCTTGTGTTTAGGTGTTTGTTTTTCAAACATAACAGCTGGTGGACAAGAATGTGCAGCCTCTCAGAGCTAAATGACTTGTTCTGGTCAGTTCTCCCTGGAGTTCAAGGAGCCTCTGGAAGCAGGGCAGAGATCCCCCTAGGGTAACATGAGCCTGACTACCACAAAGCCCTGGAGTAGTGGACAAGGACACTGAGCTTCCTGTTTTCCAAGCACTTCCTTGCAGGTGCCTCAAGGAACCAAAAGAGCTGCCTCTCTTCCTCTAAGAACTGAAATACTCCTTTCAGATTGGATTATCTATTTGCTTCTCAGCTCTTACTCCGAATCTTGTGTTCGGAATGTGCTTACATTACTCCAGGGCCTCTGATGTCTTAATCCTAGCTGGCAGGTCCTGAACCAGAATGTAACCATCCTTACTCTGTCAGAAAAGTTCCCCTCTCCCAGGGGAAAGTAAGACTCATTAATGATCACTAACAAAAGGCTTTGAAGTAGAGCTTGATGAGAGAGAACACCACCTATAGGGACTATGTCACCTGTTTACCTTGATCTTTTTTCCTCCCTGTGCTCAAGGAACAGATCAGTCATTTGGCAAGATGTTAATGAACCGGACAGCCCTCCAAGTGAGAGAGGCACCAGTCCAGAGGATGACAGTGAGGCTAGAAAGGTGATGAGATATCTGGTCCTTTAGTTTGAAGTGCAAGACACCATCATGTGCACTGCAAACTATTTTGTCTTTAAAATTTATCTTTCTTTTGGGGATTTTCTCATTCCAAGGGAGGCAGTTCTCTAAGACATCTCTAAGATGTTTCATGCCACAAAGCATTTGACATTTACCAGTAGCTGTCCATCATTCCACCAATTCTACATAATCCCACCCAGAAGTCACCACTACTTACCTGCTACCCATTCTGAATCCAGGAGGATTGCCACATCAAAATTGTCATATTGTATGCTGTGCTTCTTCAGAGTTTGACCCTGAAAATGTGACAGCAAAGAACAGCTGTCATGGGAGAGAACCTGTTCATTATTGCCTAACTGTACAATCAGAGAGACTTGGGGTGGAAATGGCTCCATCACAGTATCTGTCACTACTCTGTCCTCATGCAGAACCAACCACATCTGCAGCTCAAATATGAAGTGGCCCACTCTTTCCAAAAGCTATGATGAAGATAAAATTACTTTATTAAACTGTCTCCAGGTCTTGCAAGAAAATTTTCCCTTAAGTCAAACAACCTAAAAATTTTCATTGTCTACTCCAAATCCCTCCTGCACAATTTAAGCCAAATCCCCTTTGTCTTGTTATCAGTCCCTCTCCTAGTCTCCTCTATAGGCAAAATAGCACCAATTACTTATTTTTCTTAATTGGTTAATTAATGTGTGGAAAGTGCTTCATGCATGGCCTGGCATATAATTGAAACAGCAATGCTTAGCTTTTTCAATTATAAAAGCAAAGCAATTATATTATTATTGTTAGCTTTGCTTCTTATAGCCACTTGTAAGTTAACAAGCATAGTTTTGTTTTATTTTACTCTCTGCATTGCAAAGATGGGAAAACTGAGATAGAGAGAAAGAAACACAGTCTCTCCAGGTCACCCAGTCTATGTAGCATAGCACCCTGAACCTCTGCTTTTATTGTCCAAGGACCTGGAGCCAGGCATCTCTGGCTGAGAATGTGGGGACTATCTCTCTGATTCAGACCACCAGTAGAAAAGACAGTTGCCTCGCACAGGTAGTTGGGGACGAGGGGTGGGGGAGGGGTGCAGGTGGGATTGGGGCTACACTCTGAGGGACGATCCAAAAGAAGGCCAGGAACTAAAGGGTGTGCAGGGGAAAAGTCCTATCCTCTCCCTCCTTTTCCTTCTTCTGTTAGCATCTCCCTCAGTTTTTCCAGCCTGGCAACGGCAAGGGAACACAGCTCGGACTGTTATTCAGTAGCTTTGGGATCCAGTGAAGCAGGGTGGGTACAGCAGGAGGAATTTGGAAAGACTTATGTCAGTTTTTAATCCGGGCTGGAGTGTGTCTTCAGAGTCTCCAAGCGGAAGAGCCTGTCTTATTCATGAGCTTGGGGAAGACATACAGGGGCACTCACAGTGCCCAACACATGGATAGAATCTACATACACTGTGTGTCCAGCAGCTCCCCAAGTACCTCCATATTTACATTTGCAGAGTTGGGATCCAGGATTTGAGCAGATGGTCTGAGGGCTCCAGGCGAGGGTAGAGAATCTAACCTGGGACTTCCAGTGTAGTACCAAGTAGGGCTGGAAGTCATTCTTAAGCTGGGCCCCTTTACTTCTCCCCAGTCCACCCTACTCCACTCCTTCTCTGCAGACACCATAGCCCCAGCTCCTGGTCCTTGCTCTGTCCTCAAAGTGCCAACTTGGAAGCCACTTGATCTTTCCCCAGCACCAGAAAGGAAACAAAAAAAGTACTTCAGATTTCCTCTCAGTACTCTCCAGAGAAGGGTATTTCTCATCACCCCACTATGCCCAGCATCTCCTTATTCTTTGGGGCTGGACCTTTGCAGTACAAGTTAATTGGCTGCAGTCTCACCCCATCTCTTCTTGGTCTGTTCTTAACAGAAAATGAAGTCAATTGAATATGCTAATTTAAAAACATGTCCTTTACTAGCCTATCAGTTCCCTATACTGTCTTCCTTGCGACCTTCATTTTCATCCTCATAAATTCTCCCTCCACAATGTCCTCCACTGCTGTCCTGGGAAAGGAGTCTGAAAGCCTTCCTCCCACTCCTGCCGCCCAGCTTCAGGCCGGCACAGCGGCTGACCACCGCGGCAAGCTAAGGAGCGCCTCTGGCGGACGCACAAGCAAGCCCCGCTCCAAGCCGCCCGCGCGTTCTAGCCCTCGAGGGGTGCTATGTGGATCCCACTCTTAAGACCTGGTCTGTTGGAACTGTCACTCACACAGTGACCTTCCTGAAGCTCTCAGGCACCACGTCGAAGGAACCAAAGCGGCCTCAGAATTTTTCAGTGGTGACTTTTGTTGTCCCTGCTGGATTTTTAATTGAGTTCTTGGGGTTTCTTCTTTCAAGTTCTTGACCCAGTAGACTCTAGACAGAGGTAGTTGACTTGTCTGAGAGGACAACCAGAAGGATAAGGGGGTGAAGGCAACAGCAGAATTTGTTAAAACCAAACAGAGCTTTTACCTGTTAGGATTATGTGTTTTGTGGGGAAAGCTTCAAAAAGGGGAAATTCTTTTGAGATTTTTAAAAAACATATAAACCATAATCATATGAAATGCAGGAGGGAGGGGAATTATGTACTTCACTTTTGAGGTTCATAGCAGCCTCATTCGTCTATGGATTTTTGTCTCCTTGAACTTCAGAGCCTTGTGCTCACTCCTCTGGCAGTTCTTGGAATGGATATATACAATCCCCTCAGAGCTCTGGCATGCAAAGACATTTGTCTCTCTGCCCAGGATTTCTTGTTTTAATTTCCTGCCACTTTCTCTATCTGCAAAGTGGCAGGAGATAATCCATTTCCTTACTCTTTCGTCCCAAAGCAATTTAACAAAGCCCTCTCAGAAGTTATCCATACCTCAGAGCTGCTAGGATTGTCCTTTGATTTCCTTCTGCTCCTCCCTGCTGCCCACAGATTGGAAGAGATAAGGTCCTGATTGGAAGAACACTCAAGGGCATTCCAGGGTCTGCTGAGTACTCTCCAGGCTTGGGGTGGGTAGGAAGCAGAGCAGCAGACACAGCAGAAGTCCCACGCTGTCCCTCGTTCTGCCTCCCAGTGGTGTGAGTTGGTATGACTCTAATCGAGGAAAAAGCTTGGGCCACCCAGCCAAGTTCCAGCCCTCGCATCACGGAGCTTTATAGGCTATGTGGCTTCTCTGTGGATCCAGGTCCCTGATCTGGGCTTCTCCCACCCACTTCCGCCCTTCTTGTCCCCACAGAGTTCTCCATCAGCAGTTTCTGCACCGTGGTGGACGTCATGAACTTCTCAAAGCTGCAGGTGCTGCGCCTGGACGGTAACGAGATCCAGCGCAACGCAATGCCGGAGGACGCGCCCCTCTGCCTGCGCCTGGCCAGCCTCATCGAGATCTGAGCGGCGCTCGCACTGGGCGAGGGGCCCAGAGCCCGCACGCCCCACTGCATTTGGCTTGATGGTTTGGTTTGGCTTTTGCTGGAAGGTCTAGGACAGACCATGTGACAAAACTCCACAGGCTCCCCCTGTAGTCTTCTCCCCTCTAAGCAAGGTCAGGCAGGATATGGGGACAGGAAGCTTTTTTGCTGAGGTGCATGACCCTAACCCTTTTCCAGGACAGAAGTGGTGGCAGAGGGAGGAATCTTTGACAATGCCAACGTCAGAAATCTCTCTACTCTTAAGTTCTTCCCGATGATCTGATGTGATCCTTGGGCATAGTACATAACCTACTTTTCCAACAATCCCTGACTCTGTGAGCAGCATATGACAGCTCTCCCACCTGTGGGGCTGGTCATACTGTCCCTCTGGACTGGCACGTGCTGCTCCTCAGAACATACCTCTTGTCCAGCTGCCTCCTCCTAACTCCACCTCATCCACTCAACTTGCTCCACAGACAGCTCTTCTATGCCTTGGGCAGATGCAGGAGAGACCCCAAGGCACTTGGGCATCTGCCTGCCAGAGAACCCATACTTGTGTCTGAAATTGGAAGGACACCAAGAGTCACCTCTGTGTCTCCCTAATCTCACTCCTTGAATGCCACCAGACTGGAGGTCACCAGTATGATGATAATATTTGTGACCTGATGTGGGAGGAGACAACTAACCTTTGACTTAGATAAGTGTATTGGGCTATAGAGCAGCCAGGCAGTTCTGTGAAGGTAGATCAGACTTCAAAAGAGGAAATATCAGACTGAATCGGCTGGACTGAGGAGTCTCCCCAGTAGTTCCATTCTTGCCCCTACACTCTCTGCATTGCCCTTGGGTCTTTATCCTCAAAGGGAAAACCATGTAGCTCTCAAAGCATGAGAAAGGGAGTTTGTCCCTTCCTCTTATCCAAGCAGGAAGGTCTACATCCTGATGGGAGAGACAGACTCCAGCCAGCCCTGGACTTGCCTGCTAGCCCAAGGAGGAGGCTGTGATTCACCCGTATTGATTGATTTGTCCTTAAGGCCACTGTTCTCTAGTACCAGCTCTGGCTGGAGATGTTTACTGAGTCCATGAAGCCTAGGCCAGAGAACCAGTTTTTGCCTGTACTGAGCATTAAACCCTCTGCTTTCTCATCTCTGAGCTCACCTTCATTACTGAATGTGCCCATTGCTTTACTGCTTGGTTGGAGAGCATTGAATTCTTCCCATTTCTGGAAAGTAATGTTGCGTGGGGCAAAGCTCCTTCTCTTGGGGGCACCATGGGGATGGAGCCATCTGGGCAGCCCGGGGCAGGACTGCGGAAAGAGAGACAGCCCTAGCCTGGTGCCTGCCCAGATGCCACTATGTCCCTGATACTATGTGTGTTTTAAAGCAGATTCCTCGAGAAGTGAAAAGGGGATCCTTGGACTATGTTCTTGGCTCCAGACCCTGAAATCCACAAAAGCCAAACCAGCTCATTTCAACAAAGTAGCAATGATTTGAGGGGCAAGGCTGCCCCCTGCCCCAGGGCTCTTCAGAAAGCATTTGCATGTGAACACCGTCATGCCTCTATAAAGGATCCTTATTACAGGAAAAGCATGAGTGGTGGCTAATCTGACCAATAAAGGTATTTTACAATTGCATCTGCAAGAATGGAGTCATTGAAGGCAGACACTTTAAGGGAAACTTGTGGGGTCACATAGGTCTCAGACAGGAAGAACTCACCTTCTCATCTATTCTTCTTGGGAAAATGTAGCTAAGAGGTTAAAAAATTACCTCTCTAAAAAAAAATCACCTGTATAAAATCTCTAGTTAGCATACTGTATGCATTGGAAGTTCTTCTTGAAGTCTAACTTCAATCTCTCTAGCTACACATTTCTTTCCATTTGGCCCGCAAGAGGTAAAGAACAACTGGCTTTTTCCAACGATTCTAACATTTTTCTCCTTTCACCATCCTCCCTTGTCAACCCAGTAATTCTGGGTCTCACTGGTCCTCAGTATTGTTGCTTGATCTCTCCTGCCCTCTAGTGGCAACTGTGCAGAACTGGGAGCAGTCAAGCACTGCAAAGTCCAATTGTGCCTGGAATAGCAAAATAAGCATTCACCCAGGGGTCCGTTCCTTCATTCATCCTCTCCATGCACATTTCTTAAAAGCTTTTAAGTGCCAGCTGTTGTGCTAGGTGCCTAGCAAATGTTATAAAGAGGGCAGACTAGGGTTGCACTTTTGGGACAATCCACTATTTTCTAATAGAGAAGTAACTGTTATTTATTGAGCACTAATATATCCTGTGAAATTCTGTGTCAAGTATGTTACAAATATTATAACTCCATCTGAGGCCAGAGTAAACTAATTTGATTATAAATCTCTGGAACAAGAATTAGGCACGGATGTAAGCGTATAAAAGATCAGAAGGAAATCATGACTTTAAGCACAGACCTCTCTACAAGGACAGCACGTTCAGCACATCTTGAGGGAGATGAAGACATGAACACATAGGCAGGGATCCCGCCAAGGTATAAGGAAGAATCTTCTGCCTCTAATTTGTGCTTCTTAGTGGCTTCCATGAACATCTCAACCAAGACAGGGCAGGGGGAAGAATGGGAGCCAGGTCCAGCCCTGCTGCAGGCTGCCCTCCTTTCTATACCCAGTGCTTCTCAAGAGAGTAGAGGAAGAGTGGACTCGCAACCCCTCAGGCTCAATTGGCCTTTTTTTTTTTTTTCTTAATTTTTAGAGGGGATAAGGGAAGGAGAGAGGGAGAGAAACATCTATCCATGTGTGGTTGCCTCTCACGCACCCACTACTAAGGACCTGTCCCACAGCGCAGGCATGTGCCCTGCCTGGGAATCAAACTGGTGATCCTTTGAATCGCAGGTCAGCACTCAATCCACTGAGCCACACCAGTCAGGATGGCTTTTTCTTCAGGTACCATATGATAAGTACTTATTATGTGCTAGGTGCTTTCCTTATGCTACCCCATTAGCATTCTTAATCATTCTATGCCAGAGGTACTACTACTTTGTGCTCTTTTACAGATGAGGAAACTGAGGCACAAAGAAGCTGAGGTCACCCAGGAAGGAAGCATTAAGGCCACTGACCCCAGGCAGTCTGTCTCCTGGGCCTGTCAGTCTTGCTACACTGTTTCTACTGGGTGATCCTGGGTAATGCAGTGTTACTGGTGTAAGTAGGACCTCTAGGAGTATGGAGAGGCTTAGCAGTAATGGGTTGTCATAGTGGAGGAAGGCCATATGACTATTTTTCCTGGATTTAAATCCATTCTGCTCATATTCACAGTGCCTTTATGAATTTTCTGATTCAAATTCATTCTTCATTAATAAGTGCATATTGAATGCACTGGGGATACTTCAGCAAACAAAAGCAAATAGCCCCTGCCCTTGAGGGTTTTATAGTCTAGTGCAGTGATAAATGATGAACAATAACCAAAAAAATAAAATAATATCACTCTAAGGAGAACGAGCTGTGAGCACAGATCTACAAGAGGATTATGGAGAAGTCTGACCTAGGCTGGAGGTTCAAAGGCAGAGACCCAGACATGGAGGGAGAATGTAGTTGTCTGGGAGAGGCATTCCAGCACAGATAATAGCATGCATTAACACCCTAATGCAGGAGGAAGCTTCAGGACACTTAAAGACAGAGAAAATGGCTGGAGCACAGAGAATAAGGAAGAGATTTTCAAACGATGAGACTGGGACTGTAGGCAGGGGTAAAACCACCTAATACATTTATTCTCTAATTCCAGACACCAGTACCAAGCTACTAATATCCTCAACCCGCAGTCCAAGGGCCTGTGTTGTTCGCGGCCTCACAATTCAACCTTCCAGCCACTAGTAGGCAGCACTTCACTTCGAATCATCAAAGGCTTCCCCCATCCCTTCCCAGCGGGGTACTCCACGTCTGTTCCCCTTGGTTTCAGGTTACACATTCAGAGAAATTTCTCCAATAACAAACTATGTAAATGAGCCGGAAAGTATAATCTTAATCAGAAGCTTTTTGAAACTTCAAAAAGGCTTCAATTCGCTCAACATTCTTCCAAATCTGCTCTGGTTAGTGCCCAGCCCTGCCAGATACTGACCAAAAATCAGGATCCCAATAGGCGCAGTGTAACCATGGGTCTTGGGTGCAGTGAACCCCTTTGGCAATCTGATGAATGGACCTCTTCTCAAAATGTTTTTAAAGACACAAGATAAAAATGAATAAGTTTACAGAAGAAACCAATTACATTTAAGTAGTTCTAAAATATATAAATGTTTACATAGTATATATATTTAATAATGCACTGAATAACAAGATCTAGCAACAAGCCTAATTAGCTACAGTCATTTCGAAGTGCTGATGAATATAAATGGCATTTCTAAGTATTTTCAATAACTAATATGATATAAAAATACCTGTGATTTCAGTTGGTGACAAAGCCTCAGGTACTGCTAATATTGCTGTGGTTTGTTACCTTCATCATAATTGATGAGAATGCTAGATTTCAGTTAGCTGTGTGAAAAATAAAAATACAGTGTCTTCATCTCAATTCACAGACTTCTCTAAATTAAGCCATGAAAGAAACCTGGATCATAAAGAAAAGAAGGCAAGTTTTGATCTTTTCTCTCTCTGAGTGCAGCTCAACTGTTCAACACATTTTAACTGTATGCAAAATTCTCAGCCAGACAATGCATCACTATTTGGTACATTTAGGATATGAAAGAATGAATGTAGACCTCTCAAGGTATTTACTATGGAGTTTGATGGGGAGAATAATAATTAACATATATTTTGCTTTAGCCACTTAAAAGATACAGTTGATTTAAATAGAACCCATGAGGCAGTTTGATGTACGCATAAATGCCAAAAGAAATATATCGACAAAGTGTCTCTTCATTCTCTTTGAAGAGGAAGGAATGATGAAGGCTGGAGTGGCCAGCAAAGCCTCAAAGGCAGCCCCAGGCACCCTTTTTCTGGGGGTCTGAGAACTACTTCATTCACTAG